AAAGGTCAGGCTACATTATGAGAATAACCAACCTGTCTCTCATAAGCGGGGTTCTGTCAGTAGTCTGTTAAATCAGGTCATGACACACTGCACGAACGAAGAAAGTTATCAAGGAGGAGTGAGTTACCTTTTCGAACTATTTTTCCTAAATGGGTACTTCTTGAGTTTGTCCGCCAGTGCATGAGGCATTGAGGATTTTGAGGAAGACATTTTTCCAGCCCCAGGACCACCCAGAGGACAAAACCAACCAAGCGACGAACTTCCACCTACGCAAAAATGCATCTGAGCTCGTCAAAAGGCAGCCGAAAAAGCACCGGTACAAGGCGGTACGCAAACCTACAAATGCTTTACGCACCGAAAGTGTACGACCTGTGGGCGTAGTTAGCTATTATGATAGTAAATGAGTTGTCTACAGAGTTCCTTATGTCACTTGTAATGCAGTCCACTGTGGCTAAATCGAGGGTACGAACACCGGCTGGCGGTGAAGAGGTGAAATCACCAGTCCCAGGCAACCATTCACGCAGTGAACACTGGATCAGAATTTGCATCACTAGCGTCTGCCCAGCAATTAAAAGCTGCGAATCCCCGGTGGCAAGAACTCTGATGGACTGTGCATGAATAAGCACATTGAGTTGGAGATGACAATCGGATATGTGACCCAAATGAGAAAACGGGAGGCAAGAACTCCTGTAATAATTGGATGGTAGTAATGTGAGTCTTAATGATGAGGTAAACGGAGACAATAGATAACTAATTGTGAGAACAAAAGCAAAAAACGTATGGTTAAGCCACTAGTCTTTTTAAATGCGCCAATGAAGCGTAAAAACGAGAGTACGCAATTTCAAATACTGGAAATTAAAAGCTGTAAACGGACGAAAAAGGTTGAATCGACGGCATAAGTTAGATATTCGAGGCAAACCGACCCCGGCCCATGATGATCGCTCATATTGTAGAAAAAAGTGCCATAGGTATAGTAAAGGTATATATTTAAATCCGACTCTTTTGAGAGTCGCTACGGAAGACATGATTGAATTTTACAAAGTCAACAGCCTAACCCCTAACCCATAGCCCCTGACCCTGGCCCCAACACCTTGCCCTTAAACCTAACCCTAACTCTAAGCCTAAACCGAACGCCTACCCTAATGGTAACACCTGAGGTAAGTGTAGGGGAAATTAGGGAAAGGAAGGTGTTAAATTAGGCCTGCCTAAATGATACGAGTAGGTGTTACACAGAAGTGGAGACTATATGGGGCCAAATGCTCGATCGACACGGATTCGGATGCCTCCCTTTTACTGATGAGTTTACGGTCGTGCCATAAAGATCAGTATAAAGACCGCGCTTAAGTAGTCTTTTTTATTTAAATAGACAACTAAAAGATTGCATTCACGCTTAATGAACGTCGATGTCCACAGTAACTGTTTACAGTAGGTAGAAGTCCCCAAAGCTAGCGAACCTGCCTATGCAGATGGATGGTCGCGGCTTTTCAGAAACTCTTCGCGCGGAAATCCTACAAAACCTGAAGTTAATAACCTTGTCGTGACTTTACTAAAAGAAAGGAGACGTTAAATAGGGAAAGTCCTCCCAAGCATTTGCTAGCCTTACTGCTTCTTCTAGCTAAATAAGATCCGAACATATTCCTCGGCAGTAACGTTTAAGTGGGGTAAGACAGATATTCCCAGTAAGACAGAGAAATTGGAAATATTAGCTAATATTCTGAAGTGCGTCTTCGATTAGGAGGGATTACTTAAGCGGAACTGTAATATTAACCCATCGATCTCATGAAATGTTGGCTGAAATTCTGAAGTGCGTTTTCGATTAGGAAGGATTACTTAGGCGCGGTTGTAATACTGATTATCTCGCGGCATAATCCTATAATATTTATGACTTGGCAGGATGTCAGTTTTGAATACACCGCTTTTCAATCTCCTGTAGAGACTCTATTTGGTAAAAAAAAATGACTACTTAAGCAGCCTGCATTTCTCCCCACTGATTTTCGATGGTTTTGCAGATTCAAATATATTTTATAGAAACCACGAACAAAAATATGCTTCCTTCCAATCGTTTAATGGAGAATCACGTCATCTTTAAATTTACTACTCCAAGAAGGAGTGTAATTAGTCTTTCAAAAAGTTTCGTAATTGCCGAATAATTTGGGGCCTGATCAGTCGTTGCACTAGCGCTTAGGAATTTCAGTCTGCATGGCGCATGCGTTCCGCTTAAAGAAAATCACATATTTTTCAATGCCATTAAAGAGGTATCATACAGAGTCCATAAAATTTTGCAATGGATGCGGGCCATGTTGTACATTTCATTAGAAGCAGTGGAAAACGGACAGGTACGAGGCTATATGAGTGGACATCGCGTGATCTTAAAAATCTCATCATAAGAAACTTTTTTAAAACCTAATTATAATCCTTCTTTGAATATAAAATATAAAGATGACGTGATTTTCCATCAAATGAGTAAAATAAAGAATATTTTTGATCATGTTTTTTACAAAATATATTTTAATTTGCAAGACCATCGAAAATCAGTGGGAAAAATGTACACTACTTAAGTATCCATTTTTTACCGAGTACGGTCTCTACAGGAGATTGAAAAACAGTGTATTCAAAAACTGACATCCTGCCGGGTCCGAAATATTATAGGATTATGCCGCATGTTAGTCAGTATTAAAACCGCACCTGAGTAATCCGTCCCTATTAAAAACGCATTTCAGAATTTCAGTCAACATTTCATAAGATCGGTTACTCACTGTATCTCGCGACTTAATCTCGCAATACTCCAAACACGCCAATGTGTTGGCTTCTTTTCAGTCACCCGCAAAAACTGTTTTCGGTAAAAAAAAAGGTGACTATATAAGTGGAGTGTGCGTTTTCCCCATAGGCTTCGATGTCCCTTTTAATTCAAAATATTCCGCAAAAAACGCACAAAAATATTATTCGTGTGCAAATTCAATAGTCAATCACGTCTTCTTCAAACTTAATACTCAAAGAAAGAGTATCTGTCGGTCTTAACGAACTTCTGTTTATAAGATGTTCAGGACCGTGCAATGCCCATTCTAATACCTGTCTGGTTATTAATACTCTCCGTTAAGTATGCGACGTAGCCCACATCCGTTGCAATATTTTGTGAGGCCCATATGGCATTTTTTAATGAAATAAAAAATGCACAGTTTTCCTTGCACGAAAAGTATACAGACTGTAGACCTAAAACTTCAAACAAAAATGGAACGGCAGATTGGGCTCAAAATTATTCCGGAGTGGAAAAAGTTTTTTAAAACCAAAAGATGTCTTTTCTTTTAGTTGTCAAATGGGTACAAAAATGATATTTATGGAGATTGTCTATAAAACACATCTGGCTTTAAAAGGGCGTCGAAAATCGATGGAGAAAATGTACTTTGCTTAACTAGTCGTGTGTTACCGAGTGCGGTTTTTTCAGGCAATCAAAAATGAGTGCATCCAAAAGCCGACTTCCTGACGTCGTAAGATAGTCAAAAATTACATCCCTGCTTAAGTAAACCTTCCTAATAGCAAACCAATTTCAGAATATTGGTTAATATTTCATGAGAGCAGTCATTGACTGTAGGTGACCTTGCCCTCAATTCCAGAGGGGTATCGGTTAGCCTAACTATAACCCAAGCCACAACCCTGATCCCAACCTCGCCACCAATTTTCCAGGGGCTTCCCACTCTCGTGCTGATGGATGGGAAACATTCAGAAACTGGGTCTATTTACTTTCACTCAGGACTGCATTGGCTGAGTCAGGCAGTTTCGGTTCCGCAAAACTCTGAAGTATCCACCTCATATTACTTAAATACAAAAGTGGGCACGTGGAGTGAGAAAGGATGGAAACCACATGCTTGGACTCTGGATAAACCGGGGGTGACATCAATCACAGCCAATTTATTCCTAAAGCCAATAGCGCCTCCACCGAGGAATTTATATACACATACAGTAGATGTGCTATCTCACCAGATGTTGGCCGATATTCTGAAACATATTTTCAATTCGAAAAGGTTACTCTAGCATGGTTGTAATACTAATAATCTTGCAGCATAGTCCTAGAGTATTTCAACCACGTCAGGATGCCGGTTTTTTAATGAGCTTCTATTCTGCCGTCTGAAAAATAAACACTCCACGAGAAATGGCTACTTAAGTAGTATGCATTTTCCCTTGACTTTCAACGTCCTTATAAATTCAAAAATATTACTTAGATAACAGGCACAGAAATATTCTCTCTTGGCTCATTTGGCAGCAAATTATATCTTATATAAATTTTCTATTCGAAAAGAGAGTATTTTGGTTTTTAAAAAGTTTCTAATTGCAAGATTTTTTAAAGCCGTGAAATGTCCATTCCTATAGCATCGCACCAGCATGTTTACAAGTGCTACTTAAGAATTATACAACCTGAAACTCACGCATTTCTTAATTTTATGAGCCGCATAGGCGTAGAGAAATGTGTGGTGTTCTTTAAACGGCACGTATACAACATGCAGTTTGGAAACCCTGAATGCAGGTATAACGGGGAGTGGAGCAAAAAATTATTCGGGAATTTATAAAGTTTTTAGGAACCGAAAGTTTCACATTTGTCAGGTGGAGAACGTAATTTTCTACCGAATAGATGCAGTAAGGAATATTTTTGTGAACGTTTTCTATATAAGATATTTTAATTTGTAAGGGAGTCGAAAACCAATGGGAAAAATCGTGCTACTTAAGTAGTCATTCTTCTAGAGTGCGGTTCTTGCCGACCGTCGGAAGATAGTCCCTTAAAAAGCTGAAATCCTGATATGGTTTAAACTTTTTTGAGATTTCACTGCGTGATACTTAATATTACAGTTCTACTTACGTACTCTTTGCGAATCGAAAACAAATTTTGGAGTCTCGGTCCTGATAAATCACTCAAGGAGTCCCTTATCTAACAGTTTTCTTAATTTACAATCGTTTAAAAAAGCCGCACCTCTAACCGTAGCGAGGGTGTGCGCACTAGCCGACGCTGCTCACTCAATCCTCTTGACGACAATGCCCACCCGAAGTAGGTGTCGAGCCATCAGAGCCAGCATTGTCACAAATGTCAGCAGGATGCCGTAGACACAGATACACGTAACCCCGGCCTGTAGACCCACGCTGAAGGGTTGCTGATCGTAGAAGATGTACTTCTTTGGGTCCTGTAGTCCCTCGTTCAGACTCAAAGCGGAGACTGAGGTGAGTGCAAGGATGCAGCACCAGACGCCGAGAGCAGCCATGTTGTCGTCGAGAGGAAACTTAGTCCTCCACTCCAAGTCCTTAGACTTATATGGGGAAGCTCAGAGGAGAATGATTGGAGGCGGCGGCGATGGTTGGAGATCGCAGAAGGAGGACGACAGCACCTGATTGTTGAGTACTCTGCTGATGCTCACCTATGCCCTTGTTTATAGCAGCATGCGCGTAAACTGCTTACGATGACGCTGATGACCGCTCACCGCAGTGCAGCTGGCGTAACCTGCCTCAGGGGTCATGGCGCGCCTGCTAAGCTAAAAAATAGGCCCGTATTGGCGAAATTCTCGCCTTGTTCAGCCTGTGCAGACTGGACTGAGCACAGGCTACTTTCACCCAGGCTGTTCTGCTTGTCAAAAAGGGCGGGGCCGATCGATAAATACGCCCCTATCTGACTGCCCTCAGGTCATAAAGTCCAGATCCTTCTAGCCCCACGCTTTGCAACTCCGGTCTTGCAGTCGCCACCGCTCACCGGCATCTGTGAATGGCGACAAAAGAACACCTCTGGGTGGTTTATAAAAAAGTGAAGTTATTTTAGGGTAAATTTCCCGTCTTCCGTGCCCTAAGCACCATCTGGAAGCTGGAGCGTAATCTTCGTAAACGCACCCGAGTATACGGCCACTGCCATGACAGAGTTGTGTACGAGGGCGTGGACCTCTGCGTCGCAGGTGGCCTTTCCCAGGGAGGGTTAGAGTCAGGCTATACTTTAGTTTTAGGTTTGAGAATGCTCGAATCAGCGTTATGGTTAGATTTAGGAGGTAATGGGTTGCAGGATACCATGTTAGGAGCACAGGTACTAGCGAAAAACCCAGACACGCGTGTTTCGCTGACATGCTGCCGCTGTATGGTGTGGCTGCGGGGGGCTCGGTTCATCAATGGGTCCCCCAAGCATTCCCCATGTACTTGCTTGTGGCCACCCCAGTTTACAAATTGTTGCCTTTTAATTTCTTCAGAAATTAACTGTCAAATTGGAGTAGATCAGTTCGAACTAAGATCTATAGGCGTAGACCGAAATTTAATGCGTGAATACTTGAGCCGATGTCCATCAGTCAGAGCGAATAACCGTGCTGTTAGAATGGTATCCTGCAACCCAATATATACTACTAACTGCCTGTCGGCAGTTAATAGGTATTACACGGCTATCCCACTGTGGCTGATGGACATCGGCCCACGTATTCATACAATAAATTTCGGTCAACGCCTGCAGACCTTAGTTCGAACTGATTTGCTCCAAGTTAGCAGTTTATTTCTGAGGAAATTAAAAAGCAACAGGATTTAGGAGGGTTACTGTTGGGGTTAGGATCAGGGTTGAGGTTGGGATACGAGGACAGGAACGCCCGTAAAATTTAAAAAGAGCTCGCCTCTAGTGCTGAGGGTGTTCGTACACCCGTGTCCAACCCATGAAAACAGCCGAATGGGCTCAAATCGAAGACACAGTTGCCTTGACAACGCACAATTGGCGGAAGGACGGGTGGTGATTTAGTTCAAAAACTGTAAACCGGGAGGCGAGCTCTTTGCTTCCGTGTCTGCGATCCTGCATGAGCTCCTAATTGATGAAAATGAACAAGAAGCCTAGAACACAAAATAATTTCTGCCAGTACAGACTGCGGACGCATAAAAGTCACTCAGTCAGAAACAGCATTTTCCGGCACGGAATAGAACCCCTGATCACGCAACTTCGCGCTGGCTGTTCTGGCCTCTGGGTCACAGAAAAACTCTTGTCGGTCGCACGAACATTCACTACTCATTTTGCCCCTTTTCAGGAGAGGTTTACGTCTAGTTTGAAGACTTTTCTGTGGAAATTATAGTGAATAGCGTCTCGTGTGCCGAATGTCCACAGCTGTGTTAAATAACGTGTCAAATACTTACTTGTGAGCACACCCTCTACGACTGAGTTAGAATCGCATTGCCACAGTCCCCTAGGCGGTGCAGACAGCTCAGGATTTTTTGGATCGTTAGTTAGCCTCTTTCTAATGCCTGGGATTCTTTTTACATAACGCGCGTCTTAAATAAGAGGGAGGGAACGTATAATCCTTGTGGTGACTTGCAAACTCTAGTATAAGTTTTCAGTTTATAAATCGTGCTGTAGTTTAGCCCCCAGAAATTATTCCAAAGCGAATTTTTTGCGTCCATCGAAGCTGGTTTGGATTAGTTTTAACAAAAACAACCTACTCAGGCATTTTAAGTACACGTGATTTTTGCAATAAATTCGTCGTTATAGAAGTACTCTGAGGACTAACTCGTTCGCCTGGGAAAGAAAAGTTTATTGTCCCGTGTCCCTATGGCAACACGGCCGAGCGTCTCGATGAAAAGGAGGAAAGAAATGCTATGCGCACCCAATTTATTGTAATACCTCAAAAGCAGTAAAAGTTGACAGTGTCAAAGATTATCCATTCGGGATGCCAGTTTTGGGCCAAGGGACAGAATTTGGCGAGACCTACCTACTATCGGAAACTCATTCACATAATGTCGACTTGATGGTTTTTCGAGTAGCCCCAGCAATAGGAATCGCCCACATAGATTTTCTTGGAGTAAAAAAAATTGGGAGCGCACAGTAGACACTATCGTCATGGTGGAGTCCTTAAGCTTGCTATCAAGTCTTCATAGTCAAGGTCGGGCTCGGGCTCTATCATCGGATCGAGCTTACTCATGAGATATGCACCAAGGAAGGACTAATCGCTTGGATGGGCGGGCAGTCGAGTTTCACGAGGTGGCAGGGGGGAGGGCGGAATCGCAATACCACCGGAAGGCGACGAGCACTCCAAAACTTCGTCTCCTGCATACTCGTCGTGCCCTCTTTCAAACAAGATGGATTTTATCCGACTGAAGTATGGTCCCAATCTTTCGGGGAAGGCTGAGCAGCAGGGGAGGCAACTGGACTGCCAACTTTTGTACTTTTTCCTGCTTAAATATATATAAATGGGGGCAACAAGGCAACGGGCTCGTAGCCCGGTGGGTAGAGGCGTGGACTTCTAAACCAACAGGTCGCGAGTTCGAGGCTCGGGTGTTGCACACTTCGGGCTTGGGTATGGCTGGCTGACGACGGCTAATAAGCCAGAAATAGCCATTTCAGTCTCCCTTGTCTTTGTCGGTAATGCCATTCTGCATATATATATATATGTAGGTATAATGGTAGGGGGCGCTCATCGATCGTTCATACGGAACTCACTCGTTCCGTTGTGCCTTACGGGCTCTCTCTCTCTCGAGCATGCAGGGTAGGTATATATAGCTAGCACCGCAGACTAGAATGTAGCATGCCCAGAAGCCCCTACTGACCGGCTAAAGTGAGGTCAGGTGTTCCAACTCGTAGATCGTTCATGGGAGTAACCGTGTAATACAATGTCAGCAGATTGGTCATGCTACTTAAAAGCTTACAATGTGATGCATATCTATTACACTGACGTGGGTTCGAATCCCGCCAAGGTCATCGAGTTTCTCACAGATGGGTCAAAATGAATTATTCAAAATCTGCCATAGTATGTACTCATTATTATTGGAGCGAATTGTCAAAGATCTCGTTCGGCGTTTCCAAAATCCAAGCATTTTGTTCATCTATATTTTTCATGTTGAAAATTCGCTCATCGATCGAGTGGCGGGACACGTTTATCCCGTCTTGCCTGGGGGGCCAATGTGTAATCCTTGCAAGCAGTCGTATATCGGCCAGAAATACATGCTGAAATGAGTCTCGACAACGGAAAAGGAGACTGAGATACCCACCCCCGGCTTGCTGCATTTGAGCCTCAAGCCTGCGTTCTTCAGTCGTCGAGCGTTATAAAGTCCAACGCTCTAACAAGTGAGTCACGGGACAGTTATTCTCTCGGTTGCGATCGGGCATATTAATTGTTTTGGAAATGCGTTACCGATCGGATTATTGGGGCCTCCTCATCCCGTTGTGGCTTGGTATTCAATGTAGTAGGTGTGCTCTTACTGAGTTAGGCAGGTCGCCCGTTTCGGTCAGGCTGTTGGGTTTGGTGAGGGTTAGGGTAAGGCGTAGGTTATGTTTTAGGATTAGGGTTTGCGTTTTAGGATCAGGTTTCGGTGCTAGGGTTAGGGCTTAGGTTCCCGTTAGGATTATCGTTAAGGTAAAGATTAGGGTTAGGGCTAATGTTAGGGTTAGGGTTAGACTTAAGGTTAGTGCTAGGCTTGAGGGTAGGGTTAGGGTTAAGCTTAGAGTTTGGATGAAGGTTATGGGTAGGGTTATGGCTAGGTTTTAGGTTAACGTTGGGTTTAAGGATTCTGGTAACGTTTCGCTTTTGAGGCTTAGGTTTATGCTTTACGGTTGCGCTCGGGGTTTGATTTTAGGGTTGAGCGTGGGGTTTGAATTTCTGCCACTGTTCGACCTACTTAAAACTTCCCAGCAGTTTCACTGGTAACTTTACTTTTACCCAGAAACTCCAGAATTCTTCTACCAGCCCTTCCACTTACCCCACCCATATAACCCCTTTTTCCCACCATTCCCGTACGACAGGGACCTGGTTGTCCGCCTCCCCATTTCTGGCTACCAACTGCGATCTAACCGAATATTGATATATGCAATTGGATAGTATGGACAAAAACAAGGAATGGTCATTTCTGGCTCATTATCTGTCGCCAGTCAGCCTGAGCCTGGGTAGGGCCGGCTGACGGTGGCTGACAAGCCAGAAATGGCCCCTGCACTCTTGTCTTTGTCAGCAACATTATTCTGCCTGCGGAGCTCTATACTGCGTCTCGTGATATAAAGAGACAAGGCTCTGCTGTAATTCGATCGGCGAACACACTTCCAGCATATATACCGATTTTGCGTTAAAGTCGTTAACCTGTGTTAATTCGTGACATTTCATGAGTTAGCACAGGTACTGTATATATGTAGTAGGGGATGCAAGTCGCGAAATCTTCCGTCCGAAAAGTGAAGGACCAATGGCAGCACCCAGACTGTTGTGTCTTGCTCGCTAAATTTGCTTGTGGCCGAGGTGATTTTTTTGGAATACGGCCTTGTTTCAAAGCTATTTTACTAAAAAAGCTGGAAACATTTGGAGAATTCTAAATTCCAGTAAATAATATTTTATCAACAAAATTTCGCTTTTTTTCTAAGAAGGGTCATATTCTCAGTGCTGCAAACATCTGGGCGGATTATAAACCGCAGGGTTTTTTTGCAAATGTGACGATATTTCACGAGTTAAATCACCTACCGTCCTTGTTCAATGCTTTATAGATACTTGAACTTCCGCATCTCAGCTTATCCTCAGATAAGTGTTAGTTCTGGCTAATGTTATATTACTTTCGGTACTTCGTTTGTATCTACGTTCAGTCAAAGGCCGTCCATTGGTCGATGCATTTGACTCGGTTTCCGATTGGTTGAAGGTCTTTCGTGAAACTTGTTGGTTCCGACAAATTCTGCTGCGTATACTTGCCTCAAATTCACACTGAGGCAGCATTTCTTCAAGCATGTATATATTTATCTATTTGAACAATGCCCGCCAGAAGGCTGCGGACTGGTTGCCATATTGAATGTTGTGCATATTCTTGAAGTAAAGCATGCTCTCTGTGCCGCACGAATCCCGATTTATTTATCGACTTGTTTGCATGCATATGTCCTTTTTACTGATACAAATTAAGTGTAATCGTTCTACGTCAGCGTAAATCTTGCTCGTGTTCCTACTTTCGCCAAAACGTCGTTTTTTTCCTTGGGACTAAAAATATCTATGAATGCCTGTTGATGTTTTCTTTTTTCTTAAAGTCGTTCATCCCTTAATTGTGCGTTTTAAGCATTGATATAGGCGCAGTTTTCGGGTCACAAGACTGCTTTCGAGAAGTACGGCATGTCTCATGAGTTTCGCCGTTGCACCCGACTATGTCCACTGTGTGCTTCACAGCAGGGTAGGAGCAGGGACGGTGACTTGCGCACGGTTTTCTTCTATAGTGAAGATAGACTTTCGATGCATCTATGTCACTCTGTTCTCCTCCCCCACCTGGACCAGGTGTCATGACCAAGTCAAGAAGACCGCTTAGTCGCGACAAATTAGTGGGAATCTTGTGAAGGTTGAGTTCAGTCACTTCTGGGGTTGGGCTTCGATCACGTCGGGGTCACCAGGGGCGCAAGTGGCTGACACTACCAAAAGCCGTATTTTGGCGCATATCACCACACCGACTCGGAGCCCACAGATTGGGAGTGCCATAGTGGCCGCATTAAAGAAGAACCATTGCAGCCTGACTCTCATTCTAACAGTCAGCTACTTCACACAAGCACACGCACTGGATTGATTGCAATGCCCAGGCTATCCCCCCGGATGGCAAAATCCCAAGCTACGGATTTAAGCGCACTGTGATAGCTTCAAGCGCGTCAGATTGTTTATAGTTAGGAGTACAGTGCGTGATCGATCTCATGAAATGTCGGCCAAAATTCTGGAATGCGTTTCCGATTAGGAAGAATTACTTAAGTGGGGTTGTTATACTGATTACCATGCAGCATAACCCTATAACATTTTGGACTCGCCAGGATGTCGGCTTTTGAATGCACTTCTTCTCGACCTCCGTCAGAGACCAAACTCGGTAAAAAATGACTACTTAAGTAGCACGCGTTTTACAGTGATTTTCGATGGTCTCGTTTGGTAGAAAACCCCATTGCCTTCACATTTTATACCCAAAAAGTGTATGTTTAGGTCTTTAAAAAGTTTCCCAATTCATGAATTGTTTCGAGCTTGATTAGCCGTTGCACTAGCTTTTAGCAATTTCAGCGTACGAGGTGTGTGCCTTCCGCGTAAGGAAAATCATATATTCTTCTATGCCTTTAAGAAAATATCATATGGAGTTCATAAAATTTTGCAGCGGGTGCGGGCTATGTCGTACATTTCTTGAGTTGCATTGGTAAAAGTACATGTGCGATGCTGTATGCATGGACATTGCACGGTCTTAAAAAACTCATAATTAGAAACTTTAAAAAAACTAAAATATATCCGTTTTCATGCATAAAATGTGTAGAGAATGTAATTTTCTACAAAACAAGTAAAAGAAAGCATATTTTATGCACGATTTCTGTAAAATATATTTGAATTTATAAGACCACCAGAAATCAACCTGAAAAACGCATGCTATTTAAGTAATCCTTTTTTTACCGAGTGTGGTTTCAGCGAGGATTCGTATATGAGTATATTCAGAAGCCGACATCCTGGCGGGTCCGAAATATCATAGATTTACGTCGCATGATAATCAATATTGCAACCCCACCTAAGTAATCCTTACTAATCGAAAACGCATTTCAGAATTTCGGTCAAAATTTCATGAGATCGGTCTCTCACTGTAGGTGCTGAGACCGTTGACCTCGTTCTCTCTCTCTCCCCGCTCCCAGACACCATTCTACTGTCTAAGTCGGACAGATTTCTGCTGCGGGGAGTGGATACAGTTTCTGACTGGAGTTAGAGAGTCAGTCTGCTCGCGCCACATACATGACCTGGTCCCCCCTCCCCAACGCAGACGCCAAAATTGCATATGATAATTTTATAGCATTTAAAGTATAGTCGCCCCTAAAAATGACAAGGATATAAAGACGGGTTTTTTCGGAACTGAATGTTCTGTAAATTGTGGCAGCCAGGTCTATTGAGCACCTGCCCAGATGGCTCCTAATGCAAGAAAATAAAATCCCGCGTTCCTCCATTACAAAACACCTGCTTGACAGTGGTCACACCGTCGACCCTGAAACGTCCTTCCGAGTACTAGTTCAGGCACGAACAACTCGGATGTTAAGTTATCTGGAGGCGGCCTATATATGGCGGATGAAACCAGATCTTTTTGAACAGTTAGGACACGTGGTTAGTCTAACCTTGCCATGGTAGTCTTTAGATCCATGATTTTCACTTCCCCTTTCTTTTTGCTCGTTACCGCTTTTTCCCACTATCCTTCCCATTCTGTGTTTGACGTACTGATTTTATCGATTAGCCGGCTTTGCCCAAAACCATAACCTTGTTGTTTCTGCATTGATTTTCTGCACGAATTCAAACCTGTTGTATTCTTCCCGCTCGTTGGCAATGTAATGAAGCGACAGGGCACAGCTCACGAGCCGTAGCGAAAATGTTTGGGTACCATTAAATCCTGCCCTGCTTGCCTGCTTCCGAGTCGCACATATATATGTGCAGAGAGTGGGGACGGGAGAGAATTCGAGAAGTCTGTTGCGGGCTTATTCTACCCCTCCCCCTCCCCTCCTATGTTATTATAATTTGGCCGACTTCGGGCTGGTAGTTGGTCGCCTGTTGGTGACTTTTGTCACTCCTACGGAGCTTGTTTGCTTCGATAGTTCAATAGATCAGTGTGCGCTTATTCCTGCTTAAATATGTGTATATATACATATGCATATGCAGGTATATATAGCTAACACCTGTGCCGTTAAGTATGGCGTGCCATGTAACCAGTATATACATATATATATATATATATATGATGCGCCGCTGTGTTGCTGCTGGTTGGGCTCGAGAGAGAGAGCCCGTAAGGCACGACGGAACGAGTGAGTTCCGCAAAGAACAATCGGTTAACACCCCTCCACCACTATATATACATATATTCATTCATTCAGGAATAGGCGCACACCGACCCATACTATATGTACATATAACTAGGTTCATAATCTTCACTTTTTGCGATTCGAATCTTGTTCGATCCCATTCAGGCCGTCCGCCATTGGGCAGTCGACAATAACAAACATTGTCCCAGAGAACACATGCCACATATAATTCATATATAATTCGTTAGGATGCTAACACGCCAGGCGCAGACAACTGTTTCACGGTCGTCAGTACGCCTGCTTTGTGCCCTCTGAAGTGGGGCATACAAACTAATCAAGTAGACGTGTGAACGTCACTTGCTGTGTTTCGAATCTTGCTCGATCCTATTCCGTCCTCTGTACCTTAACGAACACTCTCTGCATTATATGTGACATGTGTCCCTTTTGGATGGCGGGACGCGACGAGGTGAGAACGAGGTGAACATTTTTGAAGGCAAGCATATAGCAAGAAACGAACAACGAAAAACTCACACAGACGACACTTACCTAAATGATCTTCTGTCGATGGTGGCCCAGAAATCGCGTTACCAGAGCAATCGTACTAACAAGAGTGCCAAGCATGACGTACAGCAGGACTAGAGCAATCCCGGCGTGGTAGAATACATTGAAGTTATTATCCCGGAAGTAGACTAGATACTCCTCCAGTCCGTCGGTCTCGGCCTCCTGTATGGTGACGCCGGCGGCCTTCTGGGCAAGCAGGGTCATTAGAACCGCAGCGAAGTTGAGCGAAAACCACATCATCTGTTTCCCTCTTACAAACAAATGATGCGAGGTTGGGCTGGCGACTGGGAACTGGAACGGAGGCGTAGTCGCTGTGTTGCTTGCCTGAACAGTCGGCGCGGGATGAGAGATCGAGAGCGAGAACGAAATAGACACGGGGCGATTGCAGGGTCATGGCGACTTGGGAAGACGAGAAGGGCCAATCACGCTGCGGCAGGGTCTGCCGGCATTGTGATTGGCCGTTAAGGTCGCATGGGCAGTAAACGACGGAAGCTCGAACTGTACGCGTGTAGCAATCGATAGAGCGCTTAGAGCTAGTGGCCGACTGCGTGCGCGGGCACAGGCGTCGAGTTGACAGTCTTTAGAGTATTGCATGATGAAGTGTTAGTAGTCGTATCAACCTGGAGAATTTACACAGGTCTTAGCCCACTCGCTGGCCGTAACTGACCCATTTCCTATTAATTTGACCTATCAACACCAGTCCGGCAGATTTCGTTGGCCCAGCCACTCGAGGACTGCATGGTTTTCGTTCTTGGAGGCAATAGCCTTGTTATCTACTCAAAACCCCGAGATATTAATTATTCCTAATAAGAACTGTATTAACAAGGACCCAGGGGATTTAAATGGACATTTTTGGTCTGTTTGTCATTAGCTACGTTCTGTCCGATTCGGCTGCTTTTAAGTAAAATGTATTCTGGGGGGTTTATATTTGATTTATGCAGCCACGAGCTGCATTGGTAGTAATCTGAACCGATTGCAAACGTTCGAGAATTTCATTTACCCTGCAGAAAGTGCCCATTCAAATGGCTCACTGAGACGAAGTGCGTGCGGATGTTTCTGAAGCAGAATGTCAGCGGGGCTGACATAACTGCAGCGGCTTTCCAGAGATTTTCAAGTTGCTTCTTGCGGATTTTTGTCCTTAAGGACCAAGTTCCTTGATGAGCTTGACCGGGTAAAAAAATAGGGCAAGTCAGTAGCGGTGAGCGACCATGAAACGTCCACCTGGGGACACATCCTTAGTCTAGTGACAGTGGATGTTTAAGCCAGGCTTTACCGGCTTTTTAGATTCCCGCGGCAGTCCTATCCAAGCGGACTATAAACTCCGGTAGAGTCGCAAATCCGCCCACCGGTTGTACAAGGGAGTGTGCCTGCGCTTACGGACGCGCGTGAGTCCCGCGATAGCCAATCAGCGCTCCGAAGTGGGAAAAATCGATATCCTGAAGATTCTTCTGTGCGGCCAAAGGCAGGCCGTAGGAGGCTGTCTGCGGCAGGGTTTCCCACCATACCTCACTGGCTATCCCGAAATTTCCGGCAGTCGGCTTGAAAAAACGACTCCGAGACGATCGTTTACTTGCTGGCGAATTTTCCGTTTCGTTGGTTGTGAATGATGCCTGTCAACAGCCACTGCTGGTTAACTATAGTTATTCACTATCCGTCCATGCAATCAAAGCGGGCTAATTTGACCGCATGCCAAGTCCTGCGGTATGCGCGAAAAATTGAAGGCTGGTGGGAGGCGACCCTGGTGCTCAGATCGCCGACTTTCAGCGGTGTGAGGGTAGGGCATTTAGATTTATTCGCAATGGCCACAGAGCTCAGGCCAGAACTTCCACTCTTCCGAGCTTGGACGCCCGACGAGGGTAGATGGCCACGAAGCGGACGACAAAGTTTCATCCGTTCTTGGTTGGTGCGACCCCGGAATCAGTGACTGCTCGTAGGGCGCGTGACCCGCAAAGGTTCCACCCCAGAGCACCAGGGTTAAACGGGATCGGCCATACAGTAGATGTGCTAACTCATGAAATGTCAACCAAAATTTCGAAATGCGTTCTCGTTTCGAAAAGATAACTTAAGTAGTGTTGTAAAACTAATCATGATGCAGCAAAAATCTATGATGATCCAGTTACCTCAGGGAGTCGGCTTTCGAAAGAACGTATTTTCGGCTGCATGCAAGATCTATACTCTGCAAAAAATGACTACTTAAGTAGTCTGCAATTTTCTCATTGATTTTCTATGCCCTTGAAAATTCAATTATATTTCATGGAAAACATGCATAACAATATTCATTCTTTTAATTATTCGGTAGAAAATGACGTCTTCTCTCAATTTCATACTTAAAAAGGAGTATAATTCGGTTTTAAAAAAGTTTCTAATTGTGCGATTTTTTATTACCGTTGAGTGGCCGTTCATGAAACGTCATGTATCTGCATTTACGAATGTGGCTTGTAAAGTTAACAATACTGATCAAATCCACTGCTTAATTTTATGAACCTCATATGGTCTCCTCTTAACACTGTAGAGAAATGCATGGTTTTCCGTACACGGAAAATATACAGCTTGTAGTTTTGAAACCCTGAATGCAAGTGTAACAGCAGCTCGGGTTCAAAATTATTCGGGAATTAGAAAAGTTTTTTAAAACCAATTTCATACTCTCCTTTTTGAGTATACAATTGGAAGAAGACGTGATTTTCTACCGAATGAGTAAAGGAATGAATATTTTCATACATGTTTTCCATGAAATATAATTGAATTTTCAAGGGCATAGAAAATCAATGAGAAAATTGCAGACTACTTAAGTAGTCATTTTTTGCAGAGTAGAGATCTTGCATGCAGCCGAAGATAAGTTCTTTCGAATGCCGACACCCTGTGGTAGCTGGATCATTATAGATTTATGCTGCATCACGATTAGTTTTACAACACTACTTAAGTTATCTTTTCGAAACGAGAACGCATTTCGAAATTTTGGTTGACATTTCATGAGTTAGCACATCTACTGTACTCCTCCCCGCAGACCATGACATCACCCCCGCGGACCCTGCATGTTTTGGCTGTTTGACGGCTTAGGTACTGCACTGCCTTCCTTCGCATCCGTATCACTGTAGCCCTCGAGGCCGCTGTGAGAGGGAATGAAAAAACCAACGCTAACGGTGATCCCCTTCAGAGTGTTTCACTCTCTTAAGGCTTTGAAAGCGATGTACCAAAGTGCTGAATTGCAAAAATATGCTCTATGCAAAGGCATTTCGGCGTCATCTAGGTCTTCAACTGCTCGAAAACGGACTCGACAGGCCCCCTCGATCAGTCAACCTGAGCGTCCCACGACCAAGTACCGATCAGCCACAACACCACGCCCACCTGACCGGGAATATCTGGAAACAGATAGGTATCATATTAAGTTGGAAAATCCGAACATCCTTGCAAAGCACACAAATATCTCTGAATGCCATGAAAACCAAGCCCCCCGTCGTCCATGGTTCTGTTACGTCCAGGGAATCAGAAAAAAGGTCGACGCAGTAACGCATCGATCTCTTTTGCAACCAGATCATCCAACCTGTGTATTTATTTTGCTCGCAATGAATGGGTGGGTACATAGGACATGGGAAGCCGTTTAGTCCTAAGCATGTACTCGGTGAGGGACCAGTTCCCGATAGATTTTCAAAATGGGGTGAAAGCCTGTCTCATGCCAAGCTGAATCTAGAGGTATAGGAAGTGAATGGAAGATGACATTGCTAAAGAGTTCGTCAACCCCTTGTCAGAAGGGTTACCTACATATAAAACTAACTGCAGCTGTGCGATAATGGAACGACGATCATGTCTACAACTCAAAGGCGGCTGGAGCGCAACAATAAATGGTTGCAAAAACAGCCTACTGACTCTCAGCAAGTAGCCCTTCTTCCAGAAGTATTTAACAATGTCGGTCAACCCGTCAAAACAACAATGCACACGACGTGAATGCGTCCACAAAAGGGGATATAGAATACATTAACAAAGCCAAATGTTAGACATATGGAAGTGTTACAGTCAGGGCTACGGCAAAAAAAAGAACTGATGTAGATAAAGCCTGAGCCAAGTCATACAGTAAAGCGAGAGGAAAGAAAGCACCAAAACGGAGAAAAAAGGCCGGAATGTGTCGAGGTCATAGAGATCACAGAGAAAGGACAAATGCCGCTTGTATGGCGGTTACACGATATGACAAGGAACATGAGTTAGGAAAGTCGAACGGCACAGGTGTCTAGGCATCTAGTACGTGTCCAGTCTTCTTGCTTTGCTGGTCTGGGTTGCCCATGGGAGTAAGGTCAGCGAAGAACTTCATCCAGTCATCCACATTACCCTATAGGAGATAAAAAAAAAGGAAAAAGGGCGAGTTAACGATCGTGAGCAAGTAACAGACAGGGTAAGGGCGACCTACAGTTGTGGGTTTATTAGAGGGCTTCTTCTTGGTCGTGCCGATAGGACCCTTCGGTGGTTGACTTGACGTAGAAGCATTTGACGACAAGTTACCCGCTGACTGGGCGGTGGCGGCGGCAGAATGCCACGTCCGTTCAAAGCCCCCGGTTGGCTGAAGAGTGAAGGAAAGCAAGCCAGATAACGGCCGATGAGATAATAATAATAATAATAATAATAATAATAATAATAATAACAGCGATAAACAGCAACGACTATGTTCACTAAATCAAATGTGCCCCATTAAAAACAAACGTTTCGTCCCTCTTACGGTGTGTGGACAACCACCATCCCCCTCTCCAGTAATGCGGTGTAATTATGGTGTTGCTGAAGTGGCGTGAGTAGTATACACATAATTAAAGTGATTTCTTCGACATGCACTTGCTTCATCGTCCCATAAGAGTGTGGTTTTCTGATGCATTGCCTCCTACCCTGAAATATACTGGACTATGCGACTCACAGATGAGGCGCTGACCTGGGGAGATATATGGGTAGTTTGGGATTTCAAGCGACGAGTCCAACTACTCTGCCTCAGCAACGGTAGACAAGGGCCATTGAGCGGGGGTTTCACTTCCTTGAAATAAGTATCGTACCTGACTGGCCTTCCGCCAAGGTCGGACTACCTTGTCGCAAAAGGTTAGCAGGGAAACCAACGTGCAAATAATGCAGCAAAGTGAGTTGAAAGCAGACACCGGCACAGCCACCTTGCAGGCTGACAAGGGTTGGGGGGCGCTCACCGATCGTTGTTACGGAACTCACTCGTTCCGTCGTGCCTTATGGGCTCTCTCTCTCGAGCCCAACCAGCAGCTGCATAGCGGCGCATGGCATAGGCAATATGTTATTACCGACAAAGACAAGGGAGACTGGAATTTCCATTTCTGGTTTATTAGCCGTCTTCAGCCAGTCATACCCAACACCGAAGTGTTGAACACCCCAGGCTCAAACTCGCGACCTGTTAGTTAGAAGTCCACGCCTCTAACCACTGAGCCACGAGCGCGTTGTCCTGTCGGTTTCCATCGGGAATATACAATGGTAAGGAGCGCTCACCGATCGTTCTTACGGAACTTACTTGTTTCGAGCCTCGCGTGTTCAACATTTCGGGGTTGGATTTGACTGTCTGACTACGGCTGATAAGCCAGAAATGGCCATTTCAGTCGCCCTTGTCTTTGTCGGTAATAGCATTCTGCCTATATCATGTGCCGCTGTGTGGTCGCTGGTTGGGCTCGAGAGAGAGCCCGTAAGGCACAACGGAACGAGTGAGTTCCGTAAGAATGATCGGTGAGCGTCCCCTACCATTGTCTATTCCCGACCAAAAACCGACAGGACAACGGGCACGTGGCCCAATGGGCGTTGGACTTCTAATTAACAGGTCGCAAGCTCGAGCCCCAGGTGTTCCACACTTCGGGGTTGGGTATGACTGGCTGATGACGGCTAATAAGCCAGAAATAGGCATTCCAGTCTCCCTTGTCTTTGTCCGCCACCGCCACCGTCTTAGAGCGGATTATCAAAACAAAGTTAGGACACTACCGGCACGGGAAACTTAAAGAGCATGCTCCCTGACACCGCTTATCAAAAATATACTCGAAACTGAGGTACGGTTAAAGTACTGCAACGCTATCACTTGAGGGAAGCAGATATGGCGTGGTCCCATGGTCTTCGAAGGAGGCGCAGGACGAGCGTCACTATCAGACAAATCACCTACCTTCAAGGTTGACCCACGCACGGGATTACAAACTGGCCATTCCATAAACTAAAGCTTGTGGTCGCGGCCTCGCAAATTGACAGTCCTTAAAATTGAATAAAAATTAGAAGTGGCGTTATACAATCACTCCCTCTCTACCCCGAACTCCCCGAGTCGAGGGAATTGGCGACCTGCTATGTAAAAACACTATGACGAGAACGACGGCCAGCCCACAACTCAGGATCTCGTGGAACTCGCGTAAGACCGTCGCCGAGTGGTGAAGCCGTTGCCTGCACAGGTCTGTGTTGACTGTTGAGATAATCGATTCGTGCAAACTAAAAGTGTGGGCGATTTAGGCCGACTAAGAAAAGATCGAGTACTGTGGGGGGAACAAAGTGGGCTTGGCCACTCCGGGATAGTTAGGACCCGCTACATAGGACAAATTTTCTGACCGACTTTTCCGCCTCGGGCAGCAGTAAAACAGAAACCAGCCGGCAAGCTACAGTGGTGAGACAAGTCCAGCAATCGACAGCTCTGGCTGACTCGACGAGGTCCACCACCAATTCAGGGGGGGAAGCTGTGGTGGCTTGCATATGAGTCGGGTTAAAGTGGGGAAGACCGTTGAAACAGCTACGTCTTTTTCAGCATTCTTGGGCGGCAAGTCAAGAGTTAGACGACTGGCTTGAGATTGTAGCGGGTGGTCTGTGCGCTACCGTCACCAGGTTAAATCCTAGTGTTGGAAGGAGAGAGACAGAAGGCACTAGAATGAGGGGTTTATTGTGCACAGAAACCGGCAGTGGCCACTGGCGAAGCCAGAGCTGGTGTTGGCTGCGTCCAGTCAGGCCTGAGAGTCCGTGGGACAGTGAAAGCAGGCGCTTTTGTAGGCTCGTGGGCCAAGCTCAAGGTGTCTCGAATCGGTGTGTGTTGCATTTGCCAAAGGGGTAGTGTCCCAGTGGCTCGTTTTGCTGGTTGCAGGCGGTAGGGTACGTCCAAGTGGCTGCATGGGCAGCTGCGGCTGTGCGGACGCAGGTATGCCTGAGCTGTCGGTTGTGCGACTTCAGGTCAGCGTGTCTGGAACGGCTCACTGCAAAGGGGTGAATGACCTTGAGGCAGCGAAGTCTTGAGCAATGACTTCAGACCGGTCATGATGGCTGCCCGCTACAAGATTAACAGCTGCGTATGCGCCTGTCAAATAGGCACCAACACGAACAACACCCCCCAATCACTCGAAGAGCATACCGTAAAAAAAGTCGGATGACAAAGCCCAAAACCAATAGTTCTAGGGCGTTTTAATAGCTCGACGGCATGTTAGCTTATTAGAGATTTATTATTAGACCTAGCCTCTCCTTCTTTATCACACATACCTTCTTTTCTTACTCACCGGGACTATTGAAGATGGCTTTGAACGCGATGGCTAACCTGGCAATCAGGTCATGGCTACACATGCCATGATTCGATGACGCTAACCAGGACGCGTCGCCTGACTCAATCAATTCGGAAAGAAGTTTAGGAAAAAGGGTTGTCCAAAAACGTCTGTAAGGCGGAGTCGACGGCATCTATGGGACAAGTTTCCAGAAATGTCACGATGAGGCGCCTCGTACATAAAGGTAGCCCTCAAGGCCGTGGTTGGATCTCCCAGACCACTAGAAAGACCAGTCACCCACAGGCCTGACTCGGCACTCCGTCGTCGGCTGATCGTGTTCCCTAAAATACGACAGGGAAACCCACTGATCCTTGCAGACGAGGATGCACGAGCACCTACTGGCGGTATGGAGGTCAAATCCACGGTCGCAGGCAGCAACCCACGAGGCCAAACGGGGCACGACGCCGATTTTTGCGAAGGTACCTGCAACAGTCGTAGGCGTCAACCACCAACCAAGGGCCAAATCGACTTCTCTGCGGAGTACGTGGCAGTACTGTCAACTGCCTCGCAAATTTCTATTGTGGCTAGCAGGAATTAAGTGTAACAAACCACGGTTGAACAGGAATTGTGACTCGCACAAAGAGAACACGGCTGGACGAAGAACCTGCTGAGCTCAGGACTCGCCAGCCTCTGATGCTGAGCAGTCGGATTCGCCAAATGAGGCACGCGATTTTAAAAGTATCGCCCCAGAAAACGTCCCCTCTGATTCCCTTATAAACAGTGCATGCTGTCAGCATGAAGTAGTAACGGAACTCAGCAAAACAAAACGTACTCCAGTGGTTGGACTCGATAGAGTGCTGCCGCCGACGCTGCCGTGCGTGTCAGTCATTTGCATCAGATGGCTATCCCAATTTAGATGGAAAGGCGAATCTGCAAGAGAAAAAGGAAGACCGTGTTTTTGGTTGTCCGAATCGTTTCCAAAGACAGCGCTTTGGTGGTCGACTATGGAAAAAAATGATGAAATGCTCCCTACCTTCGGAACCTGGTTGGCCGAGGTCGGTGGATGACATGAAAGGTTTGAAAAGTGGCAGAGAGTCGATACCAGACGGCTTTTCAGATGCAGATGCTTTATCCTCACCGGTGGTGGGCGATAAAGGAGCCATCGAGAGAATGTCATTTAAGAATTCGGAATCTTCACTTGCTGTAGGTCCAAGTAGGTCTAAAAAGTAGGGATCAATAATCCATCGTTTTTACCTCCACACGAGGTAGATAAATAAGGCAACACTTTAGACATTCGGCTGGAACTACCTGATGGGCCATTTTTGTCTTCAGCACTACCTGGAAGAGGCGGTAAGTGGTCATCCGCTGTCAGGAGGTCATCAGGAAAGAGTGAGTCCAGTTTCTTGTCCATCTCCGCCTCATCGAGCAAATTTTCCGCCGGCTCCTCTGCGCCCTCCTTAGAGGCGCTTAAAAACCAATTTGTAAAAAATGCTTTGATCAAAAATGTTGCCACAAGGGCAGAGTATTATCTGACAAAAACATGTCTACTTGTCGGAAATAAGTAGCTGACGCGCCTGTCGACCATTAAAGTACCTCCGGTCCTGGTGATTGTCGAAGTCTAGGTCTTGCAGTAGAAAGAAGTCTTCCACCGCGTCTTTGTCATTCTTCGCGTCTGTAGCACCTTCATCAGTCTCAATATGTACCGGAGATTTTTTTGAATGCGTTCCCGAGTCTGGCGAACTGAAATTGTGTCGACTTTAATTTTGTGTTTAGCTAAAACTGCACACGCGCACACACACAAACAGCACCCAGCACCTGTGCCAGCGTCCTCGCAAAAAGGGCCACTCAATGAAGACTGATCAGCCAAGAGGAGCAACGAAAGTGGGGGGAGGGTGCGGAGAAATTATTCAGCGTGGGGACTAGCGGAACCAAAATCCCACTGGGAATACAGGGCTGAGAGCACCGCCGGAAAGACAGGTAATGACATGGGCATGGAAGGAAGGTGACGGTTTAGGCGCGATGATGGAAGGAGGCGAAGAAAGTCGCAATAATCAAAAACTTACGAGTCATTTTCAGTGTCGTCCTCAGCGGACTTGGAGGTCTCCTGGGCCAATTTTCGAATTGCCGGAGTGAGCTCCTTCAGCAATGAGAATTCGTAGTACTGGTAGCCCTTGAAGCTCTCCGACACGGAAACCATTGTCCTGAAGGAATGGAATGCAATATGCTTTATAGGCAGGGCACATAAAACCCAAATATACAGAGGTTGACTAAGCATCAGAGGTCCAACCAGTAAGGCCTGTCGTTCAACCTAATGCTTGCATTGGCATTGAATTAAGAAGACCCACATTGAGTCACTTGACCAAAATTTTCATTACGCTTTGAATTATTGTTAAGAAATTAAGAGGGGGAAATAAGACAGGCAGGTAACTAAGTTGCATTTATTTACTGGTACTTTCCTCTGGTATTTACTTGGATAACTTACTCCGGGTTCGAAAAGGCAACTGTTCACGAAATAAAAGAATAACGTCTCAGCTGTGCAGAGTCGGGTCGGCAGCACAGTCAATGTGTCCCAAGAAGAGAAACAGACCACAAAACTTAATTCGCCACCATCTGATGTGGGCCAATGAGTCCCTGACAAATTTGGTATTAGTCTACAGGATTGGTTGTTGAGAATGCGGCCGTAACTATGCCGGAAAAACGGGGTGAATGCTGCAGACCCGACTACATGAACGCACTGACCGGGACTACAGACCAGGAGCTCAAGACTGCTATGTTTGATGAAGAGGGCACGGCTTCAACTTCCTAAGCGTGAAAACACGGGAACGAATGACTGACTTCGGGGATCTGAATTTACTGACACGTTGACCTCAACCCGTCATAAAGTCCCCCATCAGCAACCGGACCAGGCTGATCGGACTTGGAGAGACACCCGTGGCCCAGCCTGATAAGCAGAAATTTTACCAATAAAGCGCGGGCAACTGATTAGTACCATTTAAGGGCATGACATCCCAGGTGACGCTATCACCGTCGGGCATCGTCACTGAAGGTTTGCCTCTATTCCAACGCCAGGTGACTGTCATACTCAGACAGGTGGCTGTCGGCGGCACGCCTAGGTGCGGGCCCGCGCCGCGCCAACCACTCGCGCCCAATCTCAGTACCAGATGGCTATCACGATGCCCTAAAAGCCGCGGTCCAGGAGGCTGTCAAGTGAGCTGGACGTTCTGGTGCAGCCTGCCGGCGACTAGATGCACACAAAGACTGCTTTATGCCTTTTGAGCCACAGCAGGTGACTGGACGACAAAACGAAACAGGAGGGGAGGGGCGGGGGGGGCAGCGCTACCACCAACTTTATTTCGAGGGTGCTGGGACAGCAGACGACTTGCCTGGCTGTACGTTCCCAAAACTGCAGCAGCGTGTCCTGGTAGGCGGCGAGTACCTGGCTCAGCATGTTGCAGCGACTGGCAGCCAGGAGGTCTACCTTCTGCATGCTAGCCAGCTTTAGGCGATCGAAGGTGGCCTTGGACTTGCGCACCTGCAAGAAAGTCAAAAAGGCGGAAGAGAGAGAGAGGCGCTGACATGACGGTGCAGTTGCACAAAAAGAGACGGCAGATGTTGTCAGTGCACAGCGCAGGCCCGCTACTGATTGAAGTCCCGCCTCTCAATAACACAGATGTGGAAAGCGGCGGCAGTAATTGTGCATTACATCACCTCCGTACGCTGAAGCACGTGGCTGGTGTCAGGCTGGCATAAACTGGCGGGTGATGCAGGAGGTCGTAAATACGTGCAGATGCGGCGGCTGCGACGCGGCAAACACGTGTGCCTCGACGGAGTCGCCTTTAGTGGGTTCTAAGGCACAATCCAAATGCCTCCTCCACTTAGGCGCCACTGAGCGACGCAGTAAAAAAAAGAGGATGTGAAGATCCATTTAGACCGATTCGGGATAAAACGGGACAGCGTCGCGTGGGACTGGTGGGTAACAATCGGGAGAGGGCACCCAAATATCCGTTGCCTAGAAATAATACTTGCTATAGCTATTTGAGCAGGTTATGGCCCTACAATTTTTTTGTTTCATACGACCTCAATTTTATCTGATCTGCAGTGCACATGCTGCCTCACTTAGATTATCATAGTCTCCAACAGATGAGATGCGACCGGTGCAGACCGAGCCATGGTTAATCAACCTTGACCTAGGCTTACACGGCTGAAGGGTGACAGCAGTAGTGGAGTTGCGACTAAATCTTAGGAGAGTTCAGAAACGATCGCTGTATACCGACCGGTGGTTTGCCATCCTTCACATATGCATGCTTAGGTCACGAGCGAGGACATTAGTCCGTTTGCGGCTTACTTTAGACCAGGATCACTTAGGGAAGTGGGGAATGATCGCTTTAGACCCATCCTATGTTTACCAACCTTGACATTAGCTTCCACAGCTGAAGAGCGAGCGCAGTAGTCGATATGCGGCTTAATCTATGGTAGCATACGTTCAAACACTTACGATACGATCGCTGTGGACCGGCCCTTTGACTTATCCATTATGAACACTTCTTCCTTAGGTGAGGAATGACCGCAGTTGTAGGTATGCGGCTCAATCTATGGCACCATACCCTTTGGACAGTTGCGAAACGATCGCCGTAGACCCACCCTACGTTAGATAATCTTAATATAAGCTCCCACTGCTGCCGGGCGATCGCAGTAGTCCCTATGCGGAGTATTCTATAGTAGCTTACCTATGGACAATTGCAATACGACCGCCATTGACCGAACACTTGGATTATCAATTTTTACCATTAATTGCAGAGGACAAGGGGCTTAGGACAGTTGCGATAAGATCGCTGCTTTGACCGGCAGTAATTTTGGGTGCCCTCTCCCGATTTTTACCGACTGGTGATAGACAAATCTGGTCACCTACATTCTGTGTAATAACATCTGAATAAATGTAATGTTTGCTTAGAAGGACAGACTGCTGAAAGTGAAGAACATACGCACAGCCTTGAAAAAACTTTCAGATGAGATTCAACATTAAACTACCGGCTGTCTGCTATCTGAGGAATGGATTCGACGATGGGGTGCGTAATTAAATTTTGGGGAAAGCGCCACTTCCTGCGTTCGGTACAAAAATAAACGTTTATCTTGTGACAACAGGAAGCTTGACTTCCTTGCGTCTATTCATAAGCCGACCATTCTAGTAATCTCATTCACCTGTGATACCATACACTACAGATGACCAAAACTTGAGGCAGATAATGCAATATTATCAGCATATTCGATGTCAGTCAGTTGGTTCCCGGGTGCAAAGTCAACACCGTCATCTTCGTGTAGGACCCTCCTGAGAATCCAGTCAATTTGAACAGAATGGACGACAGGATGCAACTCTGTCAAACGCCAGACCGAATACCAAGCGGTTGGGAAAGATTGTTGTGGACAAGAACTCCAGCTAATAGTGAAATGATAATAGGCCTTGATCATGGCAATAATTTTTGACGACACGCCATTTAGTGCAATTGCCCACCACAGGGACTCATGATGAACGAAATCGAACGTGGCGGAAACGTCAACAAATCAGACGGCCGTCGGTTGCCGGTAGTTATGGCTGAATTAGAGAGTGCGCCTTAATGTGAACACCTGGTCCGCACATCCACGTCCAGCCCGAAATCTGGCTTGGCTGGGCCTCGTACTAAAGTCACGCATAGCCCCGAATCGCCTGAGTAGGACGATAGCAAAGACTTGAGCAGCTGCCAACTGAGGGAATAACTCGATCCTCGTAATCAGTCCTATGTGTGCGTCTGTGGGGTGGCTAACTGGTCGAGCGTGAATCAGGTTGCAATGGCTCCTTCTTAATGCGACCTCTACGACATTCCCACTCCGAGGGGATCCGAGCTGTCTCTACCTGGAGTGTGTATAGACGGGCAGTCCGACCGTGTTGGCTCGGTCATCGACTTGCACCCGGACATCGACTGACTGATCTCGACTATGCTGATGATATCGCCGTACTTGCTCCAAGTTTTGGTGATCTGCAGTCTATGGTGTCACGGGGGGGAACGAGGTCGCTAAATCAGTCGGTTTGTCCATAAACGCTGGGAAGACCAAAGTGTTCTCAAACTGCATCCCTGACCAGGAGAAGGCACCCCTCGGGATTAATGGCCGTCAACTTGAAGAAGTAGACAGTTTTAAATACCTTGGGACGAGGCTGCTGCCTAATGGACAGAGTAAGGATGACGCTGTCTCCCGAATCGATGCTGCCCGCTGGGTTTTTTCAAGCCTTCGGAAATGCCTGTGGAACCGACGTGACCTCTCCATCGCCACAAAGATTCGCGTGTACCGTGCATCTGTCCGATCTGTCCTTTTCTACGGTTGTGAATGCTGGGCTTTGCGCGTAGAGGACGAGCGAAAACTGGAGGTATTTTACCACCACTGCTTGAGAACCATCCTTCGAGTGAAGTTCGCCGACTTCGTCTCAAATGAGACAGTCCACGCTCGCTGCGACAACATCGCAAGGATAACTCAGGCCATCCAAGGTGGTTCGGGCATGTTCTTCCTCGTCCATCTCAGGAGCTCAGTGATACTACCCTTGATCCGGCACCGTTGCCCCATTGGAGGCGTCGGAGAGGGGGTCAGTTCAAAACCTGGCTCGACACTGTCCGTCAAGACATGGAGGTGGTTCTTGGACCTTCGGTATTCGGTCTCCGTCGTTGGCGAAGGGAATGGGTTGAGCTGTCTAGATCTGCTGCCGCGGATCGTCACGCGTGGAGAGGTACAGTTCGGGACATCATCGAGGCCGGCTAGATCAGGCATGATCACAGCCGTATCAAGTACAAGCAAGTAGTCTTGCCACCGAGCTTAGGTGGGTGCGGAAGCAGAAATTGTCGCAGATGCTGCGCAAGTACGTCATAACCTTGAGCTAATTCGTGCAACGGGACACACGGTAGACGTCGTAGTTCGCGCCAGTCAAACTGAGGGTCGGCCAATTCGGACCGTCTCCCGCAATGCGACTGGCTGGCACAAACAAAAAACGGTCGGAGAGAACCTGATCGACCTACCTTCCAGCGCAGTATGCACGGAAGCCCCCAAAACAATCAGTGGAATTTATCGAGAAGCTTTCAAGTGGAAAAGGTGACACAGGTGGGGCTGGGGAACGTATTCCAAGAGCGAGCCCATATATGGTAGAATTCTGGCTTTTGAATGAGGACCATTTCGTCCATCTACGTAAGTCATGCTTTATACAATAGACATATCATTTCCTGTGCATATTTGGCAGGAAATTAAGCTCTCTACAAACTTTGGGGTAGCGCGCATTTGTTTTTAAAGTCGAGTAGACTACTATCGCCAGATGAGTCGTGTTTCTTACAAAGTATGCAACATACATCGTAACGTGGGGAGGCAGATGACTTAGTGTCCGGAACAAAACTACGGAAAATGTAACCTAGAGGAACGGCGCAAACGTAAATTATGTTTCCAAATAAACCGGTAAAAAATTTTTCAAAGAAAGTATCAACAAATACTGAAAGTCTGACTGCATACAGCCTTTATCATTACAACCTGGATGTCTGACGACAGCCTTAGATCCGGATCCCCAGCATGAGATCCGGATCCCCAGCACTAGATCCGGATCCACAGCATGAGATCTGGATCCCCAGCGTGAGGCCAGCGGAAATTAGAATCCTAGAGATCAATACCCGCACCGCCACCTTTCACAGCGACCCACACGAATCCTCGGGTAAAAATGGTGTGATGACCGCCCTCTGCCAGTAGGCCAACTATGCATTACCTGCGTTGGAACTAGAAAATGACCAATTAGTCTACGTACAACTGAACGGGCACTTTACCAACACCCCTGTCGTTTGTGTACAGGCTAACATGCACTACCGACCAGCGCGATAAAGAAACCTACTCGAAACTAAAGGGGTTGACGGAAAGACTCCCTCCCCCCCCCCCGTGTTATGATGATTGCTCCCGGAGCTGGAATGGCCAGATTGTGGCAAACGACTCTTCAAGTAACCATCCTATAGTGGATGATTAAGTTGATTGGTCAGAACCCGCTGGTTGTCACCAACACCTGCGGCCATCATTGTCGGAAACATCTGCCAGTCTGAATAATCAAGTCCTGGTCAGACAAATGTTTCGTAGGTGAAATCACAATAAAAGACCGATGCGTGCTTACGAAACTGACAATGCCCATAGGTCAGACCTTCTTCTCGTTCAAACATGCCTGAAAGTTCACAGGCGCCCTAACTATGTCGCGCAAGACGCCTTGGTGTCGCAAAATTATGAAAAAGATGAACATAAAAATCTGACCTCATTTCGCAAACCGACTGGAGGAAGGAGATAGCAGCAAGTGCTTACCGCTAGAGTCCTTAGACCGCGAGACAACTCAGATTCCTCGGATTTGGACAGCGGCAGTAAACTGTGTCGACCAAGGGGCCTTATAGTTGCCCGCCCTGGGGGCTCAAGCTAAGTCTCGCATCAACCATCTCTGAAAAATGACAGCACATCCGGTCAAAAGTGACCGCAAAAACTACTGAGCCGAAGTGGCGATCCCCACAGAATAGGCCGCAGATGCGAGTGACACTCGACTACTAGATTATTCTTCAAGTTACTAATAATTAAATTGCACCGACAGACTGTTCGTGATGTGAGTAGCCGTTTTACCGCGCACAACCCGGTCAATCGATGGCGTGAACACATACAGAGCCTTCTTGACTCCAACCCGTCACGCTCTGCAGCGAAATAATAGTCTCGTTTAACCTGGACAGTGCCGTTGGTTCCAGTTCCCACCGAAGAAATACTGTGGCCGCACAACAAGGTGTCCCCCTGAACTCCGAATAGTCAGTGTTAACATTCTGGCGTTCTCACTCCATGATGTAATTGGGTAGGTGTGGGGAGATGAGCTTGTTTCCAATAAGTGAGGACTGGCCATCAGTACGACTGCCTTCAAGAAGGCCAACGAGATGAAGTTTGGGAACAAGCGGAAATGCTCCAAAGTTACTTTACGTTGCCATTTTCGGGTAGTTTCCGATTGTGAGTGACTCTAGGACAGGGTCCCACCAAGCTGGGTTCTGACCTAGGTGTAGATGTATTGATCAAGTATTCACATGGCGGTGCATTCTCGAGCCCCACTCTAACTACTGACAACCACCGATCATCTGCGCTGAAGCGACTGATTGTTCGTAGTAAGTCCCTGTGGCGGATAATGGAGCTAGATGGTATGCACATAAAAATTAAATTTGCGGCAGACTTACTGTCAACCACTCGCGGTTCGAGCTTTGACTCACAACTCTGTCGACCGCTCGAGATTCGGTCTTGTGTGCAACAAGGTGGAATTCTGTCGTTCATCTTTCTTAACCGCACTATCGACCGGATTCTCGAAAAAAAAAACTACTGAGTTAAGATGGCGTCCAAACTGCACGTAGACGCCAACTGACGGGCTTTGACTATGTTAAAGATACCGTCCTGTCAGTGTCAATCTACAGTGACCTATGAGGTGTAACGTTATGAGTGAACACGGCCAATGAATTAGTTTTTTATCTACCAATGTCAGTAAGACCGAAAGTTGAATTGCATGTTTGAGCAGGAGGCACTTTTTGGTAATAATAGTTGTCAGCCTGACGAAGTGGACGGTTTTAAATATCTCAGGCCGATGTTGTTGCCAAGCGGTCGGGATAAGGACGACACCACCCGATTCGATGCCACTCGAAGTCTTAATGGACCCTAGAAGGTGCATATGGACTGCCTGTGCCGGTCAATCCTCCTGTACAGCAGTGAACAATGAGTTGCGCACGTAGAAGACTAGTAAGCACTGAAAGTCCCTGACCACCTCTGCCTGGAAACTATCCTTAATGCGAAGTTCACCGACTTCGTCTAGAATGAAATAGTCCGCGCTTGCTACACAAACATCGTGAGGGTATTTCAAGCGATCCATGAAGGAGTTGGGCACGTTCTTTGTCGACCACTCATGACAGCAGTCCTATGGTCTCGAGTCTGAAGACACTGTCCACCTGGAGGAGTCGAAGATATACTCAAGATCTGGTTTGATGCGACTAGATAAAACATAAATATGGCTTCTGGACCTTCGGTACTCGTTTTCTGTCGTTGCATTAGAGAGGTCGGGCTCTCAAGAATCGTTGCTGCAGATTTTCACGCAGTAGGGCATATAAACATTCCCTTTCAATAGTTTAGTGGTTTAGGTACATGCTGTATAAATGAACTACCCAGCCTCTAGGAGAACGGGGATTGAAAAATGTGAATAAAGGCAAAGCTAATTTCAATACCCCTTACTCCTATTCAGAACAAACAACAAGTCCTCCCCTACCAGGCTGAGCTTGTTCACCGTCAGCTCAAAATGACGGCTTTCTTAAATAAGCACACATCTAAGTAACCAGTGGTAAATAAGTTGTGCCGACTGCGAGTTCGCTAGACATAAGGTCGGCGTCGCCACTCATCGATATCCGGTTCTTGGATCAAACACAACCTAATGGCGTTGAAGTGGGATATAAATGTCTACCAAGAACCGAAGATGTGGGTCTATTTCTTCTTTAAAAAGAGCAGTCAGCGTCGATGTCTTCGGTGGACATTATGTCGAAATTCATTAAGGAATAACAAAGGCTCGAAAGCGTTTTAAGGATAGGAATCGCAAAAGTGAACGCACCTGTGTCTGGACTCGTCGGAATTTTTCAAGCTTTTTGCCCATATCCGGATCCAATTCCTCGCTAACATTTTTCATCCAGAGAAGCGCACCACGATAGTCGTTGCGTGCGGCTTCCGTTCGTTTGATAGTCGAGGCTGTGTCATCAATGGCTCGATTACGAAACGTTTGAACCTCTTGTTGGAGTCGAGTCAATGGGTTCTGTAAAGCGAGACTGAGAAAAAAATAGTTGTTGGAGGGGAGCGAGGGGCAAGAACTGTGTCGAGATAGGCTATGGTAACTACTTCGAACGGTCATCGAACGTGATAACTGTCTAAAATGGTTTTAGATAGCACCTACCGCTGTTGAGCTGAATGAGAAAGCGCCTTCCCCACGGCGGCCAGCATTTTGCCAGCTCGGGTCTTATCTTCGGAGCTCTTCGATTTTAAAAACCGTCCCATCTCATTTTCAGCCTGTGATAAACCTGATAATGCCTAGTTGAGCAGAATAAGCTGCAACTTACCATATATACTCCGAAGGTAACGATCCGTACACAACATCAAATCTTGACAGGTGGTTTGCACAGACTTGAAAAGCTGGGTGATAAAAAGTGGGTGGGATCAGCGGAAGAAAAACAACAAACAAAGACAGCTTTTGTAGTAAGACGCCTACCGCAAGCTTTGCATCAAGTTCGCAGTCCGATGCAACGACGTACTTGTCCTCTTCTCTGCCAAGTTTCCGTATAACTGTTTGTTTAGTCGACCAATACGCGCTTTTCAGCTTGTGTGTAGTTGAGTCTTCAACGAAATCGCGATATCTATCCGCCGAAGATCCATAATACATAGTTGATGAAGTACGGGATGAACAACAAATCAGAACAAAATGACAACTTCACAATCGCCCTTAAACGAAAAAAAACGACGGCCCCTCCAAAGACAGCCGAATTACCCATCTTGGCATCGTAGAGCGATTTCGAAAAACAACTGCCAACAGAATTGTCGAGGGCCCACAGTCTTCAGTGTTTGCAGCCGTGGGATAATCTGAGTATCGTCCAATAGTATAATCCATTTTCCTACGAAAATGCGTGATCATAAGACTAAAGTCGTACACGATAATACTCGCAGTCCTTCGTAGTGATTCACATAAAAATGTTTCGAATCTCCAGTCTGCGTTTTATGCCTGCAGACTCCCGAGTAGACTCTCACCTTCCTCTAACGGCATCTGAATTAACAATGTAATCAGTCGGAATAATGGTTGATTTATCGAGGAACCCATAACTCCTGAGTCTTTCGTTGCTCGAACTCCTTTAGAGAATTACTTTTCCCTTTTTAAAGGGATATCAGAATTCCGATACAGAAATAACTGTGAAATCTTCGTGCTGCCTTTGTGTTATTGACTAAGCTCGAAGTACAGACATTTTCAGTGCAGATTACTTAACTCTACGTTGACCTACACTTCACTGGAGCTCCGCATCTCCCGCAAAAGCAAGACATTTCCTTTAATATTTGAATTTCCGAACTGTTATGTCTCTTATGGATAAGCGTTTAGAGGATTGACAACAAGCTGAGAAAACTCGTTTATCCAACTCGTATACTCACCTGAGACTTGAATAAATTTTAAGGATGCCCTCGTTGACTGCGCCTATGACGATGTTTGAATAATAAGTGTTGTTTCAAATCACCTAGCGCACCGACTACCTTTAACCTAAAGGTCAAATTATTAGCATATCTGTTATATTTTGAACAGTTAAAAACTGCTCTGTCTTGTTTATGAACCCTGGCCGTGAATGGAGAGGACAAGCCAAGTTATGTTTTTAAAAACTTTTCCAAAGACCTCATGCTAAATATATTTAAAGTTAATAATTTGCAGGTCCTTTCCAAATATCACTTTGACTCGCTTTATTTAGGGAATAAGGTTTTCTCCTTTGATCTCCCTATTCCAGCCCTAAAAGGTACGCTTAGGTGCGGTTACGGCTGCGCCAGCCACCTGCGCCCTCCCCCACCTTCGGTCTTCTTGACCATGTCTTGACACCGGGCACAGGCGAGAGAGGCGAAAGGGTGCGGTAGATGTTTTGTAAGTCCACTACCGCTATGGGCTAATTCACGCAAATTCGCCGTGTCTGCTCTCACCTTACCGTGGCGTACATGGTAGGCATCGTTCTCAACCACGGTCAAACTGTCATTTGTGAGCCAGGCGCAAAAGACTACCACTGGTAGAATCGTGATCATAAGGTTCGATATAGGTCAGGATATCTTAAGAGCAAGAGGCAATGCCTTTGAAAACTCTATTGAAGACGGTCCGTACAATATCTAATTCTAAATGAACGTGTTACTAGACTATTATCAGTATTATATACATTTATCAGAATATTTTCCTTCGAAATGCCGGGCCGAAATTCCAGAACACTCAGTTGTAGGAGGTAACGACAAAATGAAATGACAATCATCCGCATTAGCGGTAGATGTAGGCAAGGCGTTGGTTTGGTATAAGAGAGCTGTTCTGTCCATATAAGCGGCATTTTAAGCAAATATATCTAGTCTTTGTTTCCGCCAGTATCACGTCCTCGGGATGCCCGTTCGAAGCACCTACGACTCGCTGTGAAAAAGAGTACCTGTGAACGTCCAGGCGGCATCGGGATCCTCGAAGTTTAAGAGAGTTTCCACTCAGGTTTTTTATTATGGCCGAGGTGAAGGAATCATCGAGGTGTAGGGCACAGTCCCGATTTCTCAAAATCCAGTAGGCCTGTATGAGCTTTCCTAGGATCTGTTTGTACTCAAGAAGAAATCGGTTAAGCTCATCAAGTCTGTAGTTGTAAGGCAAAGTCTTGATGCCTTTCGCAATTTTGATCGCTCACCTCTGAACTCTTTTCAGCAACCGATAGTCCTTTTTCAGCCACAGGCGCCACACTTGGACTCCATATTTTTGATGCGAACGAATGAAAGCTCCATATACTTTTTTAAATAACTTTTTGCTTATATCTGTGAAAGTTCGTTTTATGGCCACGAAAACACCGGTTGCACTTTTGGCCGCCTTAACGCATTGAGAGGAGGGCTTAAGAGTCGAGAAAATGTCGATCCCAAGGCCTTTTTGTTCGGTCACATTTGAAAGGCACCTTCCGCCAAGCAGATAATGGTGATCCTCTCCACCGGTTCTTCCATTATTTTTGAGCCGCAGTGCAGCACACTTCTCAAGGTTAAACTTTAGCGCCCATTTCTCAGACAATTTGCACAGGCGGTTCAGTCCTTCTTGCTGGATCCGTTCATCATTTTCCCCGTTGATCGCCCGCTATGACTTGATTTCATTAGCAAACATGACTCCATTGCAGTCCAGTTCATTTATACAGTCGTTGACGTAAATTTAAAACAGTACCGGTCCGAGTTCAAAGATCTGGAGAACTCCACTCACAACTGGCACTGGCGTTGACTTAGCACTGTCAATACACACAGACTTTGATCGGCCGGTCAGAAAGTCCTTTACCCAGCTTAGTAGATTTCCCTTTATTCCAGACTCTCGGACCTTGTAAAGTAACCGATGGTGTGGAACACTATCAAAGGCTTTCTTGAAATTGATGCAAACGATATCAACACTTGTTCCTTGGTCTAGCGAGAGGACCACTGCTCCATTAAATAGAGCATATTACTTGATGAGGAGTGATTTCGCCGAAAGCTATGTTGGGAACTAGCAAATAAATTCTTTTCTTCAGGGAACTTTATAATGGCTTTTTTGACTATTCTCTGCATAACTTTGTAACATATGCACGTTTGTTCCACTGACCGATAATTATTTGCACTTGTTCTAGATGCACCCTTTTGAATGGGGTATATATTCGCCAATTTTCAATTAGAGGCGAGAATGCCTCGTTCAAGGGACGACTGGAAAATATGCAAATGTGGTCTGGCGAGTTCGAAAGCTAACTCCCTCAGAACTTTTGTCGGTATTTGGTCTGGACCCGGATACTTACCCTTATTAAGCACTAGAAGTTCTTTCCTCACATCTTCTTCCGTGAAGTCGACGTTTTCTATTATTTCGTCGGTTGTTCCAGTAGACAATCCAGCCTCGTTGAAGTCTGTTTCATCGGTGAAAACAGATGTGAAAAACCGGCTAAGATGTTCTGCCCTAGCGTCATGTTCGATGATATCCTCATTTTTTTCTATTTTCAACACTGACACCGTCTCTTTGTTAGTTAACCTGCTGTTGATGTACTTTTGGCTTATCGACGGCTCTTTCGACAACTCGCGCTTCATATTCCTTCCGCGACCTGCGGATAGCCGACCTTACCTCGTTGCGCTTTCGGCGAAACTGCTCATAATGAGATGGTTATTTTGTTGTTGCATACCTTCTCCATAGTTTATTCTTCCAATCGACCTCTATCTTTATGTCTCGCGATATCCAGGCAGGACGATTAGTCTTTTTGACCCTCTTTTTCGGACAGTTTCGACGCATAAAGTCAGTTACAACTCATTGGAGAGTGTTCCAGTCAACGTCTGGATGTCCGGTAAGAACGTCATGTCAGTTCACTACCGATGATTCACTTCTCATGGCAGCAACATCTCCTCGTCAGAAATTCAGTCGAGTCTTAGTCGTATCCATTTGCCGGCTGCATAGGCGGTACTTCCAAAACGGCATGAAATGGCCACTCCTGCCGAGCGATGCTATGGGCCTAAGTCCTCCAGGACTAACTGGGTCTTTTGTAAGAACAAGGTCCAGACAATTTGCTCTTTGGTCCTCCCTGATCCTAGTCGAAAACGTGAAATTCTGTACCAGAAAGAGATCACCCGTTCATTTCAAGAGCCTGGAGTCAAAGCAATTTCGCGAACCATTTGCTATTGAATAGTTCCAGTCAAACATGAGTGTGATGAAGTCTCCGATTTTTCCCTACCTCTTCGTTTTGTATCACCTCCTTAATTAACCTAAACATCGCCTCGTCAACCTCTGGATTCTGATTGGGCGGTCTCTTCACGGTCAAGAAATTGAGGTTAGGTTCACCACGCATCCTTAGTTTTAACCATAGGGCTTCACAGTCACGGGACCAATCAGTTTTGTGTTTTGACGCGATGACTCCTCTCTTGACGTAGACCGTCAGTCCTCCTCATTTCTTATGCAGTCTGCTTCGGCGAAAAAGTTGGTATTCATCGCATTCATTTTAAGCATCCAAGACTCCAGCCTGGGACCATGTCACTATGGTAGAAATTACATCCGGCTGCTTATCTGATACCCACACTTTCAACTCATCTAACTTCTGAATCAAATGCTGGGCACTTGCAGAGAGAAAGCGGAGCGTAGTCCGGACACATTCCCGAACGATTTTTGGGCCGAAGTCGCTAAATATTTCGTGTGAGTTTTCGGGTCTATTGTCCCCTTCCAAGTCTACTGCTGTTTGATCGAAATGCACGTCAGTGTACTTGCCGTCCTTTTCTCCGGCCGGTTTGGCAGATAGGAGTGTTCTTTCCTTATAATCTGGTTGTTTACTATGTTCAGTGTTGTTGGCTGTCTCAAGAGGAATGAGCTCTGAACATTTACGATTTTCCCTTTCAATATTCTTAGGTCTTTCTCGCCGGCATTGTATCTTTTGAGGAATTTGGCCTTGACTTCCCTTCATTTCCCCCTTTCGACCGGTGAGAAATCTTGCTGAAAAAAAATTTTGGATGGACATCTCGGAGTGTTGGTTTCCTGCTCAGCAGTAGAAGAGCTTGTTCTTCATTTTCGAGAACAGGTTTTCATGGTCTATGATGGCCCGACTCGTCCTTCAAATCCTTAAATGGCCTTATTCTGAAAGCTTTCAAGACGGTGGTGTTCTCGTTCTCTTGTAATACGGATTTGAGGTATTGCTGCAATAGTTCCAT